TTTACAGTCTCCCTTATTAAAAGCTCATTTTGCCAACACCCATCGCCAGCCTCCTGCCCAGACAGATGTCATTTGCATACCACTGCCCTTTTGCTTACTTCCAAGAGCAGAGAGATTTAAGAGTAAAAACAAGCCACCACCTTCATCAACTGCTACTTACTGAGGCTGCTCTGTGCCTGGAACTTTGTTGGAGGCAAGTGATATAAAGACAACGCACCAGTGTCTTGACGCTCCCTAAGCCACTGGCATTCAGTGAGGATGAAGATGTTTCACAACCGCGGCAGGGGCAGAAAGGGCCTTTCTAGAGGGAATTAATACTTGCACTTCTTGGGATGCTCATGGCCCTCGCTTCCCCACTTAGCTCAGCCAGGCAGGGTTTGAAAACTGTACTCACTGCTTGGAAAGGTGATCTTAAGAGGTGTCATGAGCCCAGACATATTGTTACAGCTGTTGGATGGGAGGGGATAATAATAACATTCATATTGCATTAAACGTTCATAATGCCTTTTGCAGGGCACTGTGCTAAGCGCTTTACATATATTAATTCATTTAATTCTCATATTAACACAATGAAGTAGGTATGTCATTATCCCTGTTTTTTAAAACAAGGAAGCAGATCACAGAGATGCCCAGAATCACACAGAGATTAAGTGGCAGAGTAAAGATTCAAACTCAGTTCTTCTGGTTTCAGTCTGTCCTTTTAATCGCTGCATGGTAGTACCTTTGTAAAGCCATATTTCTGAACCTCGCTTTTCAAAACAAAGATAAAACAAACCAACCCCATCATGGAGTTAGATCTTTAACTGTAAGAAAGATGCTCCGTGAGTTTGGCCATCTGTGTCTTCACCTGCCAGCGCTCATTTGCACATCAGAACATTTCTCAACTGTTCCCATCAAGCCACAGGTCCACAACCAGTTAAATATTAATAATGACAAACAGAGACTCCGCTCATTAGTCCCTTGATTCCAGCTCTGCTCCCTCTCTGGTGCTCAGACACCTCTAGTTGATACAGTCCCCAAATGTCTTAGTACAAAGTAGAATTCCAATAAAGCAGATTTCCCAGGGTTCTAGCAAAACTAAATCCATGACAGTGAGAATACCGCCTCTCTCTGCGTTTATAGAATTGATGGACACGGTAAGGTACCCTAGGACACTTGAGAGGGCGAAAGTTGCCGACACATCCACGGGCAAGTTGCATTTGATTCTCCTGGAAAGCCAGGGACATTTACCAAGTGACAGCAGCCCTCCACCCACAATACACCCCTCTATAAATTTTGCTCTTTCCTTTTGTATCAGCACCTAAACTGTGAGTTCTGGTGGTGGAGGGAGCAACACCGACTTTCCCCTCCGATCCTTCCCTCCCACTTGACCCTGGCTTAGAATATGAGCTTTCCTTCCCTAAAGCCAGCTGCAGTAAGAGGCACAGGGTACAGCCTCTGCTGGGAACTGCAGAGAGAGGCGAGAGAGGGTTTTCCTGATGCAGAAGTAGCTGCTGCCTGGCCAGTGCTGCAGCGGGATGGGAGACAGGGGCCTGCTGTCATGGGGGAAGGGCCTTTGCTGAAAAGATGCAAACCACAACTCATTTCCAGAGATGCTTGCTAGGGGTTGTGCCATGTTCTGTGCTTTGTACTTCAGATATTTAAACTATCTCTATAAACGCACAGACCCATGGATATGGACATCTTCCACCAAACACGGCAACTTCAAATATGGGGGTGGGGAGAGGACACCCCTTAAAGAAATACACACACCTAACTGTAGGAAGAGAAAAATAATACGC